ACTTAATCGACTGCTGTAGAGGAGCCTGTGGGCCCATCCGCCTCCACCTCTCTTGAGGAGGGAGCTTAAATGGCGGAAGCCACCCTGGGAGGCTCAGGGAAAGTGTTTCCAGCTAGATGTCTTCTTGCCTGGGAAGGAAGACACTGGTGTAGTTTTGAAGGAAAGTCCTTACCCACAACTTAGCACACAGGAAAATGAGAAAATCAGGGAAGACCCCAAAATGAAGTGTGTGTGTGGGGGGGGGGGGGGAAGGGGAGGTGTCACTGGGGCCTAAGGCAGCAAGGAAGAGTTCCTTACTACAAGTGTGTGTGTGTGGGGGGGGGGGGGTTGTGGTGTCTGACGCTTGAATTCGGCCAGGATGCCGTCCCCCAAAGCGCGAGGCTGGCGCCTGAACCGTAGCTCCACTTCTGGCTTTTTGGTGGTTAGGGCTTCCAGTCGCGATCTCAGGCCTGAGCCTCCTGAGTCGCTAGGCTGGCTGGCGTGAGCCGCGCATTTTAAGGCACCCCTCGATCCACCTGTAGCACGGAGCCCCCCCCCCCCCTTCTGGTCGCAGGGCGCTCCAGCTCCCGCGCGGTGCCGGCCGCCTCGCCGGCTTTCCCTGCGCTCCCGCCTCGGCTCTGAGCTGCGAGCGCCTTCTCTTTTTTTTAAACGTGCTTCCGTGAAACTCACTTTCTCCAACTTTCTCCCGACTCTCACGGACGGCGCGAGAAGCTAGGCTCGCGTCCTGCCAGGTCTCCCCGGCCCCCCGAGGGAGCGGCCCCCACCCGCGCCCCCTCCCGGCCCTGCGGGTGCCCCCCGGTGCGCCCCCCCCCCCCCCCAGCGCTCATCCGCGGAGTTGGAGTTGGGATGAGGGCAGGGCGGGCCGCCGGGAGGGGCTCCCTCCCCGCCGGCCGCGGGGGCGGGGCCCTGGGAACGGGCGTGGGCGGACCAGGCCCCCGGGCCCCCCGCGCCCCTCGGACCGGGTAGAGGGGTTGGCCCACCGCCAGCGTCGGAGGCCGGCCCCCTCCCCCGGCCCGCTCGCAGCCAACCAGGCCCTCCAGCGGGGCCCACGTGACCTGGAGTTCTAGACAAAGAAAATGTTCCTCCCCCCCCCCGCCGCCCCCTCCCCCTTTCTCTGGCCCCCGCCGCCCCCAGCCCCATCGCCCCCAGCCCCTCCCCCCCGGCGGGCAGCTACTTAGAGCGGCGGGGCCAGGGGCTCACACCTGAGCCGGACCGCAGAGGGGCTGCACCTGGCCTTATGGGTAGGTTCCTGGACGGAGCCCAGGGGAGGCTGGGGAAGGGGAGGCGGCCGGGCCGGTGGGAGGGTCCCCGCAGCCCTCCCGCGCTGGAACCAGAGTCAAGTATGCCTCCCCGGCCCGCCGCCGCGGCCCCGGCCCGCCGGAGTTCTGGAGCCGCCGACTTCACCGTCCCACCCACTCGTGCCCCGAAGCCCCACTCCTCACCGGGCGCCAGTGGCCCCTGGCACGCACGGGGCCGGGGGCGCCGCAGGCTGGGGAGCCGGCGGCCCGGCCCGGGGCAGCTGGCGACCAGAAGTTAGGTCGGATGGAAGCAGCCTGGGTTGAGCCGCTGGCAGTCGGGAGCCTGGCCGTGGCTGGCCGGCGGGTGTGCCCGGCCAGGGCACCGCGCTGTCCCGAGGGCCGGGCCAGGTCACGGCCTCTGGGCGGAGACAGCCTCCTCGCCGGCTGCGGGAGCCCCCTCGCAGGCGGCCCCGAGGATGCGGGGTAGCGGGGACCCGTGCCACCCTGACGTGCGGTGACACTGCGACGGCCCGAGGCCGCGTGGACCCGGGGCCGAGGGGCGCCCAGTCCTCTGACCTTTGGCGTGGGGGAGTCGCCGGGGAGGCGGGGGCACAGCCGGAGGACGACCTGGACGGGGAGGCCGGCGTGTGTGGAGTTGTGCCCCAGGCCAGCGGGCGAACGGGAGCCACTTGTGTGTGGGGAGGTGGTGCGGTGGCCTTTTTGGACCCAGCCCAGCCTCTCCCGGGAAGAGGAGCCTCGAGCCCCCAAAGCATGAACCCTGTTAACCCTTCCCTTGCCTATTGTTTGCCGGGGAGAAGGGCAGAGGTAGTGAAAGTGCGCAGGAGGATGAGCCCTCCCCCGCCGTCCCCGCTCCTCTCTCCTCCGGGCTCCCGCTGCGAACCCCCTCCTCGGTGCGGGTCCCGGCGGAGGCCCCCTTTCTCCTCTGCCTGCCTGGGCCAGCCAGGCGCGTGCTCTGCAGCGAGTGGGCTGGGGATGCTGAGCAGCTATCAGCAGCAGCATCTGACAAGCTGGGGGAAGTTGTGGGGGAAGAAGAATTTTCAGGAACTGCTGCTGAGGGGTGAGAGAGACAAAGGGGCTGTGGGGGAGTAATAAGAGTGGTGGCGGGCACGACTCCTTTCTAGACCTGGGAGCCCGGGAGGAACCCGCCCCGACCCCCCGCTGCTTACTGTGGTTGTGGTAAGCGGCCTTGCCTGGCCTGCCCCGGGCATGCACCGTGCACAATCTTTAGGGCATCCTAGGGAGAAGTCTGCTGGATATGACGGAAGGTGGGAGCCACCGCCTTGGCCACCAGGTTTATCTGTGGGTGTAACTAGTGCATTTGACACAGTTGAAGATCCTGGGAGCAGAAGTGGCTTCCTGGAAGAGGGAAGGCCACGCTCCTTCCCCACCCTGCCCCACCCCCAGCCCTGCCTTGTTGAACTTTTTGGGAGGGAGGAGTTGATAGCCAATTGTTAGAAAAGGGAGAGCAAAGTCCTGGCCAGGTGAGGTCGGACTGAGAAGGGTTGCACAATACTCTCCATTCTATCCTCCCCTCCCCCAATCTTAGCTCTTTTCCCAGCTGTTTTTGGGCTGGGGCAAAGACTGCCTTACTCTGTTTCAGAATTTTTAGGATGCATTGAGTCAGGAGAGAGAACTAAGTCTGTTTTGGGAATTGCCCCATGAAAAAGGTTTGGTCCATTCCCTGAAGGCAAAGACTATAAAGATGGTGAGAAATAAAATGAACCTTTCAATCAGTACAGTAGGTCATTGACTTACAAAGGCTTTTAACCTAGTATGCTTAGACATGGGGTCTGTTGGCAAGCTTTAGAAGAGTCCTTGGGAAATTCTTTGTGATACCTAAGTCAGATTCTTAAACAGGCCAGGAAAATTGACCAGTTTAGTTGGGCATCAGTGGCTCATGCCTGAAATCTTAGCTACTCAGGAGGCTAAGATCTGAGAAGCTAGCCCAGGCTGGAAGTCCGTGAGACTCTTATCGCCAATTAAGCACAAAAAAAACCTGAAGTGGAGCTGTGATTCTAGTGGTAGAGCACACAAAAGCTCGGGGACAGCTCCCAGGCCCTGAGACCAAGCCCCAGGACTAGCACCAAAAAAAAAAAAAAAAAGGAATATCCATATTCTGACTTCTGGGGACTTTGCTATTAAACTCTCACATTGGTTTCTGATCACTTTATATATAAATCTTCAGGATGGGTTTGCATTCACTGCTACAAGTTCTTTGTGAAGGTTAATTGAATGGAATGCTGAAAATGGGATGGAGGGGTTCTAGATTGTAGCTCAATGGTAGAGTTTGCTAGCATGCATGAGGCTGTGGGTTCAATTCCCAGCACCAAAAAAGGTGAGATTTTTCTCTCTGAATCTGATATGGTAAAAATGGGTAGAGAACCTTTGAAGTTGGAGGGTGTGTGTTCTAGATTTGGTAATGGGGTTGGGGTGAGATTAAGTAGAATGGTCCTCAGAATTTAGTTATCATGGCCTCAGAGCCAGTGTGATGAGTTTGTTGGTGGGATGGCAGAGAAAGCACCTGGTCTGCGCACTCAGCAAGTAATTGAAAGCTGCTTTTAGAAGGTAACAGCACACAGAACCTTGCCTGTAACCCACATGGACTTCAGCGTGGCTTCTGAGCTGGGGTCAGGCAGCTGCTGCAGAGCTTCCCAGGGTAGGCCAGGTGCTGGAGGTGGTGTGCTCTTTAAGTCATCTGGAGACATCATAGAACTAGAAAGAATTGTGATCTGGAAGCCAGAGGCTGCCTGAAGAAATTGTGAAGAAAAACATGAAAGCTTTCCTTTTACTTTTCTTTCTTTTTTTTTTTTTGGGTCCTGTCGTGGGGCCTGAACTCTGGGCCTGGGTGCTGTCACTCAGCTCTTCAGCTCAAGGCTAGCGCTCTACCGCTTGAGCCACAGCGCCACTTCCGGCTTTTTTCTTTTTTCTTATGTGGTGCTGAGGAATTGAACCCAGGGCCTCATGCATGCAAGGCAAGCGCTCTACCACTGAGCCACCTTCCCAGCCCCTCCCTTTTTCTTTTCTTTTTATTTGGGAGATACTGGGGTTTGAACTCTACCATTTAAGCCATGCTCTCTCAATATGGCTTTATTTTTTTGGATAGCTTAGGGGTTTTTGTTGTTGTTGTAGCTGTTGTTTTCTGCCTGGGTTGCTCAACAAATCCTCCTGATCCCTACCTCCAAGTAGTTGGAATTACAAGCATGCACACCTGCATCTAGCTGAGAGCTCCCCCTTTTTAACTGAAGCAACATGGAAGGGGCTAGAGCCAATATCTATGCCTGCACAATGATGTGCTATTAATTTTTGGGTAGAAGTGTGGTTTCCCCGATCAAAGGATGAGTACCTGATAAACCAACCAAAGTTGAGGAAGATTGGCCAGGGAAGGAGAGCTCCTACCAAGCTAAAAGGCTGAAATGGAGCCATGGTGTGGTGTTTGAATTCATCTCCCACCTTCATGTTTCTCATGGTGAGCCAGTTGGGTTGACAAATGTGGGAAGAGCCTTTTACCTCCCAGTTGCTTAAGGTGAAGAGACTCTTTGAGTTTCACATGGCCTTGCAAATTCCAGGAGGGATCAAAGTTACTCCTCCAGTCCAGTGTTTTGTTGGTTAATTGGAGACTGCTTGTGCTGGCTTTAAACTGTGATCCTCCAGCTCTCATCCTCTTGAGTAGCCAGAATTATAGGTGTGACCACCTGTGCCTCACTTCAAGGTAGTACTGACTTCTTGTTCCTTGTTTCCCAGGCTGAGAAGAAAGCCAAGGTAATCGCAGTGATGAATGCTGTGGAAGAAAACCAAGGATCTGGGGAGTCTCAGAAGGTGGAGGAAGCCAGCCCACCTGCTGTGCAGCAGCCCACGGATCCCGCATCCCCCACTGTGGCCACCACACCTGAGCCCGTGGGGGCCGATGCTGGGGACAAGAATGCCACCAAAGCAGCTGACGATGAGCCTGAGTATGAGGTGAGCAGCTCCTACCAGCCCGGTCCAGCTCTTCCCTGGGGCCTCCTCTGCCAGCTCCTCCCATCCTGCACTTGTCACTCATTGGCCACTGCCCCAGTTTTGCTGCTTCCCTCCATTCACATGGAACCCTCTCCTGATTGTCCTGCCCTAGCTGCCTAGGGCTCAGGAAGTCTTGGGGAGATTGGGGTTGTAGTAGGGCCTTGTGACCACTGTGTAACCATTTTTACTTCTTGGGCCTCCAGGACGGCCGGGGCTTTGGCATCGGGGAGCTGGTGTGGGGGAAACTGCGAGGCTTCTCCTGGTGGCCAGGCCGCATTGTGTCCTGGTGGATGACTGGTCGGAGCCGAGCCGCTGAAGGCACTCGCTGGGTCATGTGGTTCGGAGATGGCAAGTTCTCAGTGGTGAGTTCTGCCTTTGCCTGAGTGCAGGATGTCTTAGCTAGGGGAAGTCTGGAGTTGTGGTAATCATAATTAGTGGGAGCCCTGGCTCACGTGGGTGCTTGTAGAATGAATTCCTTTCCCCTACCTTCTGGTCTTCCCCACTCTTGGTCTAGGCCCCTCCTTTGCCTGGGCTCATTTGATGCCTCCAGGCCTCTGAGGGCCACTCTTGTGCCAGTAGTGAGGATGGGGTGGGGCTTGGGAGTGGAAGGAGCAGACAAGGAGCAGCCTCGTCCCCCAGGTGTGTGTGGAGAAGCTGATGCCGCTGAGCTCCTTCTGCAGTGCATTCCACCAGGCCACCTACAACAAGCAGCCCATGTACCGCAAAGCCATCTACGAAGTCCTGCAGGTGAGCCGGTCTCCCAGGGGTGGTCATTGGTTAGCCTGGTCTGAGGCCGGGCCTTCTGGCAGTGACTGTCCCTGCTTTACTCCTTTCGACGGTCTCCCTTCTTACATGGTCTTCTCCCACCTTCTGCCCTGCCCCTGCCAGCTAGCCTGTCCTAACTCTGACCTACCCCCACTTGTTGCCCTCCAGGTGGCCAGCAGCCGGGCAGGGAAACTGTTTCCAGCCTGCCATGACAACGATGAGAGTGACACTGCCAAGGCCGTGGAGGTGCAGAACAAGCAGATGATCGAATGGGCCTTGGCAGGGTTCCAGCCCTCAGGCCCCAAGGGTCTGGAGCCACCAGAAGGTAAACTTGGATGTCCAGCCCTGCCATCTGGGAAAGCCATGTTTGGCCTTCATCACTCTGGGGTCAAGGTGTACTCTCATTGGCTCACCAGAGCCAGAAGGTTGGATGGTGGAAACCAGCTGGGAGCCAAGCTGCACCCCATCTATACATAGCAGGGAGGAACTGGGGTTCTCTATCAACCTGTAAGGGTCTGGTCACCTGCTCTTCTGCTGCAGAGGAGAAGAATCCCTACAAGGAGGTTTACACGGACATGTGGGTAGAGCCTGAGGCAGCTGCCTATGCACCACCACCCCCAACCAAAAAGCCCCGCAAGAGCACAACTGAGAAGCCCAAGGTCAAGGAAATCATTGATGAGCGCACAAGAGGTGGGGCTTCCTCTGGGATGGGGCCTGCCCCAGGTGGGCGATCCCACAGCCTCTCCTGACGCGGGCTTTCCTTCTCTGCAGAACGGCTGGTGTACGAGGTGCGGCAGAAGTGCAGGAACATTGAGGGTGAGTGTTGCCGGGGAGCTGGGAGCTCCTGTCCTGGCACAGGCAGGAGAGCTGGCTGTTAGTGTGGCATGGGCATGGAGTGGTGTTGGCATAGGTTCTTCAAAAGGTAGGGGTGACCTCAGTGCCAGGGGCTTATCTGCCGCCTCTACCACCTCTGTCAGCTCACACAGCATTTGTCAAATGGCATGAGAGTTGGGGCACCACCCCAGTAGATCAGAAAGGGTGGCTGGCCCCTGTGGATTTGATTGACCTTGCCTGAGCACGGCTGGTCATTCTTCCTTTCCGTCTCGCGTCTGTCTCTTGGTTGGGTGATGGTGGTCTCGTTTGGGTGTCTTGAGTCAGGAAGGATTGGGTCAGGACTTGAAGACACAGCCTGGGCCCTGTGCTCACACGGGTTTCTTCTGTCCCCTGTTGCCTCTGTCTGGATGCTATTTACTCTTTAAGAGCCCAGTGAACTTCTGAGATTGGGGCCAGGGCCATAGGACACCCTCCCAGGTTCCTTTTGCCATTTGGGCTGCTGCTCTGGAACCCCCTTTGACAGAGCTTGTTTGAGGCTGAGTTTTGGCCTAGGTGTGTTTGGGGAGCTGGAGGGGGGAGGGCAGTGTTCTCTGTAATGCTTACAGCACATGTGCTGTTTTGCAGACATTTGCATCTCATGTGGGAGCCTCAACGTCACTCTGGAGCACCCTCTATTCATTGGTGGAATGTGCCAGAACTGCAAGGTAGGGGTGCCTACCTTCCTTACCTCTTGGGCCCAGAGGCATCTGGCGCTGGTATGGGGATGACAGACTCCAGTGTACTCTAGGCGAACAGACCCTGAGGCTTCCAGGTTTCAGCTAGCTCTTGTTTACACCCCTAGAGGCCCCTGTGTGGGTAAGGCTGGGCTGGGTGACAGGTGGGTCACCACACACCCTTCAGGAGCCTTAGGACAAGCTGCTGGAGGGAATGTTCCAGCCTTCATCAGTGTCCTTTGTTTGGTTTGTCCACCTCAGGCCTGGATTATGGCCTGACCCTGGGTGGCAGAGTCCTATCTGCAGACTGAGTCCAGGCTCCAACAGTTCAGGTTCTCAGCCCTGCCCTGGTGGCTTCTGACCCTGCATACTCTTCCTAGAACTGCTTCCTGGAGTGTGCATACCAGTATGACGATGATGGCTATCAGTCCTATTGCACCATCTGCTGTGGGGGGCGCGAGGTGCTCATGTGTGGGAACAACAACTGCTGCAGGTGAGGAGGCAGGGACGGCGTCTTCAGACCCTTCCCTTCCTGCACTGCCCTGCGCACCGTTCCAGCCCACCCCAGGCTCCCCACACACACCAAGGGGCCCCTCCCTGCTTACTGGGCTTCCTTCCAGGTGCTTTTGTGTGGAGTGCGTGGATCTCTTGGTGGGGCCGGGGGCTGCCCAAGCAGCAATTAAGGAAGACCCCTGGAACTGCTACATGTGCGGGCACAAGGGCACCTATGGGCTACTGCGGCGCCGGGATGACTGGCCCTCCCGCCTCCAGATGTTCTTCGCCAATAACCACGACCAGGAATTTGTGAGTGCTGGGCCTCGAGTGCTGAGGGATGCATGGGGTGTGCAGCTGTTGCTCACTGCTGGAGAGGGGCCCAGGGTAGGGACCTGTGCCACAGCTGAGCATTTACCTGACTCCTGTGCTCACGGCTTAGGACCCTCCGAAGGTTTACCCACCTGTCCCAGCTGAGAAGAGGAAGCCCATCCGGGTTCTATCTCTCTTTGATGGAATTGCTACAGGTGAGTGGCACAGGTCCCAGAAGGTTCTGGCCTCTATGCTTGGACAGGGAACAAGAGAGAGAGACCAAGAGACAAAGAAGGAGAGAGAAGGGCTGGGAAGGTAGCTCAGTGGTAGAGCGCTTACCTTGCATGCCTGAGGCCCTGGGTTCGATTCCTCAGCACCACATAAGAAAAAAAAAAAGCCGGAAGTGGCGCTGTGGCTCAAGTGGTAGAGTGCTAGCCTTGAGCTGAAGAGCTGAGGGACAGCGCCCAGGCCCAGAGTTCAGGCCCCACGACCGGACAAAAAAAAGGAGGAGAGAGAACGTGTGTGTGCATCTCTGTGTCTGAGTCTGTCTGGTCATGGGGTTTGATCAAAATGAAGTAAAATGAGTGTTAAACCATCCTGTCTGGTTTACATTGGAATATTCCTTAATTGAAGGAGATTCTGCACAGCCTTCAAAGGACAGACATGGTAAACAAAATATACACAGTTAGGGTGTGTCTTGATTATAAATAAGAGGGCTGGGATATAGCTCAGTGGCAAAGTGCTTGCCTAGCAAGTGCAACGTCCTGGGTTTGATCCCCAGTACCAAAAAAGACAAGACAAAAAAAATAGTTTTTTAAAAAAAAAAGTCTAAGAAACTATGAAGCTATGACATTTTGGAGTATGTCCTTTTGGACTTTTTTTCTGTATATGTGTGTAGTTATACAATCAAATGTATGGACAAGCAAAATGTAGTAAATGTTTATAACCTAGTTTGTCATTTATTATATGATGACTACTTTTTCATAACCACTGTAGAGCTACATTCATTTGTAAGTGCTTCAGAGGATTCTACTGAGGCAAAGGATCATAATTTAACTAATCTACTATTAGATTATTGCCTGTCTTTTCATTACTGTTAGCAGTGCTGAGATAGGCATCTTTACAAGTACATCTTTACATACATGACCATTATCTTCTTAGAAATAGCCCAGGAGATGCTGGCTCACTGTAGGCATGATTTTTTTTTTTCTTTTTACACATAGCTTTGCCACAATTCATTCTTCCTTCCTTTCTCTTTCTCTCCCTCTCGCTCTCTCTCCCGCTCTTGTTCTCGCTCCTTCCTTCCTTCCTTTCTTTCTCTCTCTCTTTCTTTCTTTGCTTTTTTTTTTTTTTTTGTCGGTCGTGGGACTTGAACTCTGGGCCTGGGCGCTGTCCCTCACCTCTTCAGCTCAAGGCGAAGCGCTCTACCACTTGAGCTATAGCGCCACTTCCGGTTTTCTGGTCGTTTATTGGAGATAGGAGTCTCACGGTCTCTCCTGCCTGGGCTGGCTTTGAACCGCGATCCTCAGATCTCAGCCTCCTGAGTAGCTAGGATTACAGGCGTGAGCCACCAGCACCCGGCTCTTTCTTTTCTGTGCCAGTCTTGAGATTTGTATTCAGGGCCTAAACACTGTCTCTGAGCTTCTTTTGCTCAAGGGCTAGTGCTTATCACGAGCCACAGCTTCACTTACAGCTTTTTGGCAGTAGTTTATTGGAGGAAGATAAGAGTCTCATAGACTTTCCTGTCCAGATGTCTTCAACCTGTGATCCTCAGATCTCAGCCTCCTGAGTAGCTGGGATTATAGGGGTGAGCTACTAGTGCCCGGCCAGAATTCTGATGTGTATATGACTATCCCTCTTGACTCTACCCAGGTCGAGAAACTGTTTTGGGAACAAAATTTCTCGCCTTGGAACATGTGTGTTCATGTAGCTAGTGGAAGATACAGGCAGTCTAAGCCTGGGAAGCCTGGTCACAGGGCAAGGTGGAAGTGCCATCTCAGCCACGTTTGCCTTCTGCTCTCAGCCCAGGCCCTGTACATCTGGAGATGTTTATGTGCATAGTTTCCCAGGTTAGACCCGGGAGACTTCTTGAACAGTAGAGATGGTGCCACTCTGACCCATTTCCCTAAAGTCTCTGAATCTGTTGTTATTGTTTCTCTGCCTCAGTCTGCAGCATTGATTGGGGAGAAGGAGTTTTCAGTCAGCTCAGAAGAAGTACAACAAACATGACCTTGTCTTAAAGATACTTAAAATCCAAGAGTCTCTAAATTAGGAAAACAAGCTGCTTTAGTAATCACCCCCTGATTTCCTAGAGGCTGCTGGAGTTGAATTTTAGGGAGAGCAACTGGAGGATGAATAAAAAGCCAGATGTAGACAATTTGTGTGTGTGTGTGTCTATGTGTGTGAATGAGTGTGAGTGTATGCATGTATGTGGGTACTGGGGCTTGAACTCAGGACCTAGGTGCTGTCCCTGAGGTTTTTAGCTCAAGGCTGACACTCTACCACTTGATTTACACTTTCAGGGTTTTTTGTTTTGTTTTGTTTTGTTTTCTGCTTGTTAACTGGAAGTAAGAGTCTCATGTACTTTCCTGCCTGGGCTGGCTTTGAACACAGTCCTCTGGGATTACAGGCATGAGCCAGTTGACTATAGAAATTATTAAGACTTCCCTTGCCCTCCCGCCCCCCAAAAGCTAATGTCTCGTCTCTCTGAATCTTCAAACTATCTGCTCTCTAGCCGATCTTCTCTGGGTTGACATCATTTTCCAGGTGGGCCAAACTAGGTGTAAAACAGACCCACAGTGTCCTGGTCGTTCATACTGTTTAGTAGGGAAAGGACTCACTGCCCTGCAGTTGATCTTTTGTGTGCCAGTTGACCAGAGGGCTCACTTGCCTAAGACCAGGTGCGAGGACAGCGGCCCAAGTGACAGCCTTCTCTCCCGGCTGGCACAGGGCTCCTGGTGCTGAAGGACTTGGGTATCCAGGTGGACCGCTACATTGCTTCGGAGGTGTGTGAGGACTCCATCACGGTGGGCATGGTGCGGCACCAGGGGAAGATCATGTACGTCGGGGACGTCCGCAGCGTCACGCAGAAGCATGTATGTCGGTGCCATGATGCAGTCTGCCTTTTCTCCCCGTCCTCTCTCCTTTCTTGTCCTGTTCTGTTTTGTCTTTCTACCTTTTCCCCAAACTCTCACCATTTTTCTTATTGACTTACTAAGGCAGTGGGTAGATTAAAAGGGGAGAGTTTGGGAACTGGGGGTGCAGCTCAGTAGTGGAGCTCTTGCCTACCCTACCATGCATGAGGCTTGTGGTTTGATCCTTGGGAGGAGGAAATTGGAGCTTGCCACTGCTGCCTGGATCCTTTGTGGTAGAGTGCTTTGCATTGGGGAGAGAGGGTTCAATCTTCCCCCACACTTTTGCTATAGTTCTTCCAGGCTTCACTTGGGGGAAGAGGGCTGTCAGGACTTGCTTAAAGGTCCTCTCTCCTAGTAGTGTTCTGGGGTTTACCTTTGCCCTAGAGGGTCCTTACATGGTCCAGACACCGTACCTGAAGTGCACAGAGCATAGTACTTCCTACCTCAGTGGAAGGCCCTTTAGGCTTGGGAATGGTCCAGATTGGTGTGTTTTGTTTGCTGTCCAAAAGCTGAGCCCAGAAAGCTTCTGTAGCTGTCAGGTTCTCAGACCATTCGTCTTCCTCTCTGCCTCTGTCTCTGGACAGCAGACCCATCATGTTACCTTTGTCCTCCCAGATCCAGGAGTGGGGCCCATTTGATCTGGTGATTGGAGGCAGTCCCTGCAATGATCTCTCCATTGTCAACCCAGCCCGCAAGGGCCTCTATGGTAGGTGCTCTCCTCAGCCTCGCCTTCTGAGCTGGTGCTTCCGCACTGAGGTTTCCTCCTTGGATATTTCTGCCCTGGGCCAGCTCCTCCTAGTGACCCTGTCTCCCCTTGTCCTCCCCATGCCCGAGCCACACCACTGTCTGGACACAGACAGTCTAAGCTGATGGCTTTCTCTTCCGACCTCTCAGAGGGCACTGGCCGGCTCTTCTTTGAGTTCTACCGCCTCCTGCATGATGCGCGGCCCAAGGAGGGAGATGATCGCCCCTTCTTCTGGCTCTTTGAGAATGTGGTGGCCATGGGCGTTAGTGACAAGAGGGACATCTCGCGATTTCTAGAGGTATAGCCAGCAACCTTGGTTTGGCCAGCTCACTAATGGCTTCTACCTTGGACTGCTGCTTCATCCCTGTCTCGCTGCATTGTGGAGCTGGGGACTGTGCCATGTGCTTTGCAAGGGGCCTGCTTTGGAAGCTCTGGGCTTCCCAAGCAGAAAGGGAGGAAGTAGGGGTAGAGGCCCACTCAGAATGCGTGCTCTCGCTCTGTCTTAAGAGGTTGCTATGGGAGTGGGCCTCAGTGTGGGGGGAGGGGCGGACTTCTGGGTTGAGAAGTTTGTGTGATGTTAGCCTAGGGGAACCTTTGAGGCATCAAATTGTTTTTCTCTGCCCTGTCCTCATTCCCTGGCACCGTGATGGATGCTTTTTGTCAGGTTTTATTTCCTCCAGTGTCAGTTCCACTTCACGGGAATTCTCCCACCCAGGAAGCGTGAGCACATGCTCCCAAGTCCTAGGGTCAGTAACACTGCAAGTTGATATTATGACTTGAAATGGGAGCTGGCATCTATTTGGACAGGACATACAATGGACACATACCCTGCTCCTTGGAACTTGCTTCTTAATTAAGCCTCTGGGTAGTCTAGAGCAGCCTTGTCCAAAATGGTGTCCAAAATGGTAGCCATCAGCCATGTGCAGCTATTTACATGAACAGGAAACATCCCCGCCCTCAAGTCACAAGTACAAAGTAACTCCCCATATAGCTAGTAGACCGCAGCCACTGCAGTGAGCAGTCAGGATAGTGGGTAGTTTTCTGTCATTGCAGAACATTCAGTTGGACTACACTAGTCTAGAATGCTCCAGCGAGGGTATGTGGGATGTGGCTAAGTTTAAATCCCAGCTTTTCCCAGGGTCTTTAAGCTATCCCCAAGAGAGAGGTAAGCCTTTGAGGCCTTAAGGCTGTCAGCCAGCCCAGTTGCGGCACTGTTTAATATTCCTCCTGTTTTACAGTCCAACCCTGTGATGATTGATGCCAAAGAAGTATCAGCTGCACACAGGGCCCGCTACTTCTGGGGTAATCTGCCCGGTATGAACAGGTTGGTAAGAGCTTCTGGACCTGGGGGTCAGTGGGTATAGGTGTGTCTGCAGATAGGACAGTCCAAGAAGGGCTGCAGAGTGGTCCTCTGCTGGCCTCTGCTGAATGTTCGCTATTCTCCCATGTTCCTTATTCCTGGAGAAACAAAGAGGAGTCAGGTAGGGCACAGAAACTATTTGCCTCCAGAAACCAATGGTGATCTCAATAGGACCTTGAGAATTGCGTTCTTTACACAAAAGAAGAGTACTGTGTGTGCTACAGAGTTTTAGTTACTGCACTGATGGTGTCCAGAGCCAGCTAACCATAGGTTCTCCTGAGAAAAGCTTGTGGAAGATAGGGGAGGGAGAGGGTGGTACCCACAGCCATATAAGGTTTCAGATTGTTTATCACTCATTGTTGGCTATTCATTCAAATCACACGGATATATAAAAAAAAGTTTTTAATATCCAGGAATGAAACAAAATGTCCTAACTTTAAGGTTTAGTGATTACATCATGGAAAAACCTTTGAAGAAGTTATTGCAAGCACCAGTGGCTCATAACTGTAATCCTCACTACTCAGGAGGTTGAGATCTTAGGATCAAGGTTTGAAGCCAGCGGGGGCAGGAAAGTCCATAATACTTTTTTTTTTTTGGCTAGACATAAGGCTTGAACTCTGGGCCTGGGTGCTGTCCATGAGCTCTTCAGCTTAAGGAAAGCACTGTACCCCTTGAGCCACAGCGCCACTTCCAGTCTTCTGGTGGTTAATTGGAGATAAGAGTCTCAGACTTTCCTTGCCCGGGCTGGCTTTGAACTACAATCCTCAGATCTCAGCTTCCTGAGTAGCTAGAATTATAGGTGTGAGCTACCAGCACCCAGCTAAATTAACAACAGCATTTCTTCCTTTTTTCATCGGTCATGGAGTTTGAACTCAGAGTCTAGGTGCTGTCCCTGAACTTTTTTTCTTTTTTTTTTTTTGTCAGTCATGGGGCCTGAACTCTGGGCCTGGACACTGTCCCTCAGCTCTTCAGCTCAAGGCTAATGCTCTACCACTTGAGCCATAGCACCGCTTCCAGCCTTTTCTGCTTATGTGGTGCTGAGGGATCGAACTCAGGGCCTCATGCGTGCAAGGCAAGCACTCTACTTTCCCAGCCCCACTTCTGGCTTTTTCTAAGTATCATATTGGAGATGAGAGTCTCATGGACTTTTCTGTCCTGACTGGCTTTGAACTGTGATTCCCAGATTCAGCCTCCTGAGTACTGAGGATTACAGTAGCTAGAAAGCCACTAGCACCTGGCTCTATGAGATTCTTATCTGTAATGAACTACCAAAAAAGCCAGAAGTGATGTGGGCCCTGGTGGCTTATGCCTATAATCCTAGCTGCTCAGGAGGCTGAGATCTGAGGATCATATTTCAAAGCCAGCCCAGGCAGGAAAGCCCATGAGACTCTCATCTCCAATTAACTACCAGGAAACCGAAGTGGTGCTGTGGCTCATAGTGGTAAAGCACTAGTCTTAAGCAAAAGAGCTCAGGAATAGCACCCAGGCCCCTAGTTCAAGCCACATAACCACCACCACCACCACCAACAAAACCCTGAAGTGAAGCTATGGACCAAATGTAGGGTGCCAACCTTGAACAAAAAGTTCAGGCTGAGGACAGTACCCAGGCCCTGAGTTCAAGTTCCAGGACCAGCAACAACAACAACAAAACGGTTTGCAGAGATCAGTATAAACCAACTCAAGATCCATGTTGGGGGCGGTCGTTCCCAGAATGTTTAAATCATAGGTTTTAAATCCCTTGGTTCATTTGTAAGTGGAAAATGTCATTTAGCTTGGCTTCAGCCATCTAATCTCCTTCTTTATCAAGGCTTGTTAATAGGAAGGAGTTGGTTTAGAGCAGCTGACTGGAAACAGTCCCCTGCAAAACTCCTAAGATACATGTGCACATTGGAAATGTGGATGAGCTACCATGGTCCATTGTTTTTGTGGAACCATTAACTTGAGTGTCTGCTGACAGACCGCAGTACTATGTGACTTTTTCCAACTCCAGAAGCCTAGGACTTTATTCTGGAAGAAGTAGAGGGCCCCAAGACAGGGAGGGCCCCAAGTCTCAAGATACTAAAAAATGCCATGCGTTTTGAAACCTTAAATTTTTTTCCATAGTATTAGGAACAAACCCAAGGCCTTGCACATGCTAGGCAAGCCCCTCAACTCTGAGCTACATGCCCAGCTTTTGTAGTTGTCACTCGTGGGGCTTGAACTCTGGGCCTGGGCACTGTTCCTGCGTTCCTCAGCTCAAAGCAAGTGCCCTACCACTTGAGCCGCAGCACTACTTGAGCCACAGTACCACTTCTGGTGGCTAATTGGAGATAAGAGTCTCATAGACTTTACTGCCTGGGCTGGCTTTGAACCACAATCCTCAGATCTCAGCCTCCTGAGTAACTAGGATTACAAGCGTGAGCCACCAGCGTTCGGCTGCCGTTGTTGTTTTGAGACTGTCTCGTGCCTCCTAAATTGGCCGTGAACTCTGTCCTGCTTCAATATCCTGGCTCAGCAAAATACTTTCTAAGGAAAGATCAGCACTGAAGCTGCTGCCCCATAAGAAGTGATGTATTCAGTGTCACAGAATTGTAATCTTTGGAGTCTATACAGAACTGAGGTCTGGAGATGTCCTGTCCAATGAATTTCATCCAGTGAATTACCCGCCCATCTAATGATCAACACAAATCAAGATACAGAATATTCTTTTACCCCCAAAACTTGCTTTCATGTTGGGACACTTAAAACTCAGCATATTTACAAATGAGACAGAATAATTGTGTTTTATTTCCTCTATACTGGCTGGTTAGTACCTGCCACTTGGTAGTTTGAGACCACTTTTGAGTTTGCCTGTAAAGGATTAAGGCCTGATTGATGTGTGTCCATGGATGGCCACAGTGTACATTGAGTTGGAAGAGGGTTAGGAGGTATGTGTGTGATTGGAGCAGCGGCCGAGGGTCAGTCAGCCTTGCCGGGGGCTTATTGCTGTCCAGGTATCTCATGGACCATTTTCCTTTCTTCTGCCTCCTAGGCCGTTGGCATCCACTGTGAATGATAAGCTGGAGCTTCAGGAGTGTCTGGAACATGGCAGAATAGCCAAGGTCAGCCTGGGTACCTAAGTCTTCCACGGGGCCGGGAAGAAGAGAAGGGAGGAAGAAGGGCAGAGGGTCCCACTGGACCCCTCCAGATGACAAAGGGTCATCTGGTCTATCAGGCAGGGGATGATCCAGCCTTTAACCCTTCAACCTAGGAAGGGAGCTTAAATATTCGAGGGCTAGTTATGACCTATATAAAGTGTTTTCCTTTTCTTTTTTGGCTAAGACATATTGTAAGAGCCTTTAGAGCAGAGAGAAGCCCCCAATAATGCAGATTTATGTCTGGAGAAATGTCACACGTACTCTGGGTATTAGGCTCTGTGCTAGCATATTCCAGCAGTCAGGACTGCTGACACTAAGAGTGCATCTTTGGGCCTTGGAGTCAATACCTTTTGCCTTGCAAGTTACTATACCTCTGAAAGAACCGGTTCTTTGTGAGACTTAGTATGGTGGCTGGAGCTGCTGCCTCTAAGTCTGAAGAGCTAGACTGGACTAAGAATGTCCAAGGTTATGTCAAGGTGGAAATAGAAGCATGGCGGGGGAGGGGGAGGGGGAGGGGGAGGGGGAGGCTCGTGCCTTGGCTGTGTTAATAGGGCAGTGGACATGTGCTCATTCCTTGTTTCTGGTCTTCAACTTCTAGTTCAGCAAAGTGAGGACCATTACTACTCGGTCAAACTCCATAAAGCAGGGCAAGGACCAGCATTTCCCCGTCTTCATGAATGAGAAAGAGGATATCCTGTGGTGCACTGAAATGGAAAGGTACTGTGTCCATGCACTCACGTCCTGGGTGTGTGTTCTGTTCTGGGTGTGTGTTCCCTCTGGCTTGAGGGGGGGCTGTCTGCACTGCTGTTTTTAATTTTTATTTTTATTGTGAAAATACTGTACGGAGGGGTTACAATTACATGAGCAAGATAATGAGTACATTTCTTATCAAGCATTGTAGCCTCCTCCTTTGTTTCCCCTTCCCACCCCTTCCCATCCTCCCCTGCCCCCTGCTGTGCTGTTTTCTAAGTTTCCATGTGTGAATAGGTTTGACCAAGGGCTGGGAAGATGGCTCAGTGGTAGAGTGCTTGCCTTGCATGCCTGAGGCCCTGGGTTCGATTCCTCAGCACCACATAAGCAAAAAGAAAAGAGCTGGAAGTGGCGCTGTGGCTCAAGTGGTAGAGAGCTAACCTTGAGCTGTAGAGCTGAGGGACAGGCCCAGGCCCAGGGTTCAGGCCCACAACTGACAAAAAAACAAAAAACAAAATAGGTTTGACCAAGTTTTCCCAACATGCCAGGCCCACAGAGAGGACTGTTGGCCATCAAGTCCCTATGCATTTTTATGTCTGGTCCCAAAACAAGAGGGGTCTGGGTTTCCAGAAGGCCTTCTGGGAAGGCTGACGCTCCTGGGGCTTCCTTCACTCCTGCCACAGGCATTGTTTGTGGGACAGGGCAGGCCTCAGCCCTTGCACCTGATGAGGTGGCCTGAACTCCCAGAGCTGAATCAGCTGCTTCTCGGGGTATGACTAGGATTTAGCCAGAGGCCAACAGGAAACCCTGAAACTTTGGGAAGTCAAGCAGAAGTGTCCATTCCTGGATATGATCTCCTTAGGACACTGGAAGGATGTCCTGAGTTCTGTTCAGACAGAGTAGCTGTCTGTTGCAGCTGTGGTCTAGGAGGTGTTTTGGAAACATTTTATACGACTTATGTTTGTTTCTGGTGAGTGGAAATCTGGAGGAGAGATTGCTTTAACTAGCCACAGAGACTAGCACAGTGCCTGGCCCATATCCAGCTTTGCATCTTGAGGTTGAGCTTAGCAGAATGGGCTGGTGGCCCAGGTGTGGGAGGGAATGTAGAGCACACAGTCTTCCCAGCTGCTGCGCCTGCTCCTGGTGGGTGGCCATATGGCCTCCAGGCAGCCTGGCCCCTGTTCACCCTGCCCTTTCTCCCTTCTTGTCTGCAGGGTGTTTGGCTTCCCAGTTCACTACACGGATGTCTCCAACATGAGCCGCTTGGCGAGGCAGAGACTGCTGGGCCGGTCATGGAGCGTGCCAGTCATCCGCCACCTCTTCGCTCCACTGAAGGAATATTTTGCTTGTGTGTAAGGGACATGGGGGCAAAATGAGGTAGTGACACAAAGTTAAACAAACAAACAAAAACATAAAACACCAAGAACGTGAGGATGGAGAGAAGTATCAGCACCCAGAAGAGAAAAAGGAACTTAAAACAAAAACCACAAGAGGCAGAAATACCGGAGGGTTTTGCGTTGCGAAAAGGGTTGGACATCATCTCTTGATTTTTCAATGTTAATCTTCAGTCCTATTTAAAAAGCAACACCAAGCAAGCCCCCTCCCTTTCCCTCCCCACCTTCCTCCTTTTTTTTTTGTGGGGAGGGGGTCAACCCTTTTGTTCTCTACTCTTTTCAGAGGGGCTTTCTGTTTGTTTGGGTTTTTGTTTCTTGCTGTGACTGAAATCAGAGGGTTTATTGCAGCAGAAATTGGTAACAAAAAACATAGTAAATACGTTGCAGAGGAAAGGCGGGAGAGAGGAAGAAAAGGAAATTCTATAGAAATCTATATATTGGGTATTTTTTTTGTTTTGTTTTTACTATATATCTTTTTGTTGTCTCTAGCCTGATCTGATAGGAGCACAAGTGGGGACAGAAAACAGAGACCCGCGGGCGGCCGCTCTCCCCGCCGCCCCGCAGTCTCTCCAGCACCATTCCTGGTCATGCAAAACAACCCAACTAGCAGCAGGGAGATGAGGACACCACACAGACACTTTTCTACAGTATTTCAGGTGCCTACCACACAGGAAACCTTGAAGAAAACCAGTTTCTAGAAGCCGCTGTTACCTCTTGTTTACAGTTTATATATATATGATAGATATGAGATATATATATAAAAGGTACTGTTAACTACTGTACAACCCGACTTCATAATGGTGCTTTAAAACAGCGAGATGAGTAAAAACATCAGCTTCCACCTGGCCTTATGTGCAAAGGGTTAACCATGGATGGGGAAAGGGGTTCAGCTCAGAGAGGGCTTCTTGTCTGCCGGGGTTTCTTTCCCCCTCTTGGTTTTTAACCAACTGAAGGAGGAGACTAGGGGAGCAGTATTGTGCTGCTTCTCCCTGCCAAAAATAAAAGGGGGTCAGCTGTGATGGTGGGGACCTGGGAGCTGAGCGTGGAGTTCATCCAGACTCATGCAATAACCATTCTAGAAGACTCCCTGGACAAAGTGGCAGGGTGAGGAGTCTTCATCCTGATTTCTCAGATTAGCCAAGTCCACGGCTCCTTGTGGTGGGATCGGAAGTCATCCAGTGTGTGGGACAGTGAGAGTCATAAACCCCACCTGGAGCGAATAAAAAAACATACAAAACGTACTGGTGCTTTCCTGTCTAAGTCGCCTTTTGTGTGTTCTTTTATGAAGCCCCCACCATCCTCCTCTGCACACGGCGGCTCCGGCCCCTGGAATGTGATGTTTTTGGTCATCTCCAAAGGCTGCAGTTTTATACTGGGAGGCTGATGACACCTTTTATTATAATTATTCTTATGGTTCTGGTTATAGTTATGTTTGTTTTGAGATTTTTTTTTTTCTTTCAGAAAACAAAAACCCAACACCCTTCCCTTTAGGTTTCAAACCAAGGTGCGGGGCGCAGGGTGCTTCTCAGCAGTGGTGGCTCTGGTGCCCTGGCCCCCACCCCTCGGGCCAGGTGGGCCACTGGGCAGCATGGTGACAAGCTGGGCGGCCAGGGAGTCCCTGAGGCCCGCCCTCCGGGCTGGTCACTCTTCTCTTCTACTTCCCCTCCTCGTGAGTCCGGTGTGTCAGGGCCGGAGGGAGGCCCGGGCAGCCTCTCTCCTTGTGTGTGTGGTTGGAGTGGTGTGTGTTTCTTTTCTAGTGTTTGGTCTGATGATAGCTGTGCTCTTACCTCGAGTTAGCAGCACCTGGGGCCCACGTGCTCGCACTTTGTTCTACTTCCTGCCGCGGCAGGCAGCCTGGCGTTGGTGGTGGGAAGAGGCTCCAGGGTGAGGGCCCAACGGGCAGAGCTTGCCTGGGTGGAGGGGGTGTAGATATGTGGCATATAGAGATATATATTTTATAATGGGAGGGGGGGGCAGCACCTCCTGGGCCTGGCAGAGCTGGGGGGGTGTGCCTTCAAGCACATGGTCCTGAGACCCCATTCCTAGAAAGATGGGGCCTGTGGAGATAGGCGCTATATAAATACATAGATAGGGTCATGTCTAAGAAATATTATGTAGTGGGGAGTGGTGAGGGGAGCAGGCTCCATTGGCTGAGCCTGAGTCCCTGCCACAGACAGGCCCCACGCCAGTCAGTCAGTCTCGCACACATGCACAGGAACCTATTTCAATTTGGACTCACACGCCAGGGGGCGCCCAGCACTTCTCCCAGGAGTCAGCCCACGAAGCTGCCCTGATGTTGCAGGTAGACCTGATTGCGGAAGTGGCTGTGTGCTGAAGGCAGGAAGAGGAGGAGGTGCTTCCTCTAGCAGGTCGTGTGTTCTGTCCCTTTGCCCCTGGTGATGTCAAAGACTCTTCTGTTAAGTTACCTGTGATACTGACCTGCAACTCCAGCTCCAGGCACCGGAGTGAGTCAGCCCTCACTCCCCCTACCTATTCTCCCCAACCCAAATCAAATTGACATCCGCTGTCTGTCTTGTGGGGCTTCCATTAGAAAAAGAAAACATTCAAAAATGGGACTGTGAATCTCACAGTGAACAAAGCAAAATCATGATTAGTGACTATGAAAACAAGGCTTTGAACTCCTTGCTCATTGCTCAGGAGTAGGCTCACAGCTGGGGCATGCCCTCTGTAGGGTCTGAAGTCCTGGGCCTGGGCCTTTCCCTCGTAGAAGGAATTGTTAAGCTACCCAGTTGGCTCCATGCTGCGGCCCTGACATGGCGGGTGGGGACTGACCCCCGTGGAGCTAGAGCAGCTAGGAGCAGGGACCACTTGCTCCCAGCATTCAAGTCCCTGTGCTAAATGTGCTTGCCCATCCCCTGCTAACTCCGGTAGGGCTCCATTCTGGCCTGGAGTCTACTAGCACCATTCTGGAGGGCTGGGGGAGGGGGGCTGCTCCAGGCAGTCCAAGGTGCTCCCTCCCCCACTGGCCAATGCCAAGGTCTTCCTGGCGCCCAGTGTGAGGACCGTCTTCATGGGCCTTCCTCTTCCAGCATTGGTGGCCCTCCCAGCCTCTGTCCATTGCTGATGTGAAGGCTTAGCCTTTCCCAATGGTCCCTGCTCCAGCCGAACTGGGCGCAGTGCTCCCCAGGGGGCATTGGTGTGGGGACTGGCCAGAGCCTCAGCAGCTGGGGATGTGGCACACCCAAGGGGCCCATGGGTGGGGCGGCTTGCTGTGAGATGAGAGCTGCCACAGAGGCCCTCCCCATGGCATCTTCTTAGCACCACTCTAGTGACCTGACAAGGCCTCAGGGGCTGCCCCTGGGCTTGCTTCCAGTCCAGCCTGGGCTTGGTTTCCCTGGGAAAACTCCACAGCATGTAGGGGATTCTTGCCAGGCTGAGATGCCCTTCATCCTCTTCCACCCCTGTGAGAGACTGCCCTCAAGGGAGCCTGGGCAGATCTGGCAGAGGTCTGTATGTGTGTGTTGTGGAGGAAGCTGAGGGCAGAGGCTGTGCGATGGAGAAACCCGGAAGACCTGGTGTCTTGGGAGTCCCAGAAGGTGTTCAGTGCAGGCTTTTCTTCCCCAACAGCAGGCTCCTCTCCCCATAGAAACCCGGGTGCTGGGGACTGAGGGTGATCGCCTCCCCCTGGAGGTGCCACATAGAGCATGGTGCCAAAGAGATCGTGGCTCTTGCCTGGGGGAGGCAGCTGGGTGCTAGTGCCAGGGTCTTGAGCCTTGGCCGCCTGCCTGAGGATCCCAGCGGGACCTCACGCAGGCTGGTGCTAACCCTGTCCCAAGGGGCCGACAGGAGGCCGGGGAGCCAGCAGGGGAAGATCAGGGAAGATTTGGAGGTTGGCAGCTTGTTTTCCTCTCAGGCCTCCAGAGACTCGTTGCAGTAGGATGTGTTAGCAAACTCCCCTCCCGTGTCACCAGTGTGGACTGGGCAGGTGGGACAGCAGGAGGAAAGGTCGACAGGGCAAGGTTCTCATGAGTGGCACCTCTCCTGTGCTGAGCCAGGCTCTGAAGGAATCTCTGTCATCTCCAGCCCACGGATCTGCAATAAGAGCAGGGAGGAAATGCTTGCATGAATCTGAGAGATGTCCTTGTGGGATAATTGCGACGGCTGGTTTTGATTTTAGGATTACCTAAGTATGTAGGAGTCGATCTTGAGTTGCCACCGTGGTTGAGCTTGGTGCAGAGTTGCTGTGGTGCTAGTGTCTTTTGAAGTTGTCACTTTCTAGGGATTCCACAAGCCGGGCCCTGAAGGCGGCTTGCTTGCTTGGCCCTGCGGAACAGCAGAGCTGAAGTTTCAGGCCAGGTCTGTGTTTTGATCCTGGAGCTGAATCGATCCTAGTTGTCATCTGTGGTTTCAGGTCTGTTGTTTCCAGTGTGCCACTGTTGTCCCCTGTGACAGGGAGCTGCCTCCATTGATGGAAGGGCAGCTGTGAAGGAAGCTTGGAGGAGGGGTCCTGGCCACTCCTTGCCCAGTTAGCTAGAAGGAGGCAGAGGTTGCCTTGGCCCGCCTTGTGCTGGGGCAAAGGACCTGAGAGGAAAGCCGTGAACCTCACTGTTGTCTTTATGTTGTGGTAGAGGAAGGCTGGGGTCTTTGGGGAAGTGTGGCTTTTTCAGATCTGCCTCTGACTATAGGCAGTGGAGTTTTAGCATATAGGTTGATAGGGGGAAAAGGAAAGTTCCTCGCTAACTTCCCCAGAAGGCTTCAGTTCCCCCAAATTCCAGTGACTGGAAAACCCTGGGCACAGAGGGTGGATCCCCAAACCCCAACAGAGCAGCCTCTAGCCTGTGCCTGAGGACATGAGCAAGCGGGCCGCGGTCGCATTCACGTCCCAGTCTGATTTGGATACAGCCCTAGAATTCAAGACAACGATAACAACAACCAATGCTGAAATTTAGAATATGCAGAGGGAGGAGGTGACTCAACAAGGTGCTAAAACATTTTATTAAAAATATATATTGTTAAATTAAGTCTGCTGTCTGGACAATGACTGTTTGTTTTGTTTTCTTGTAGTGGAGTTTAAAAGAGACTATTATTTTACTCTGATATATTATTATTAAAAAGGCATTTTAACTTTGTACTTGAAAACTAAGTGAGCGATTTCACGTGTTTTAGCTGAGGCATTGAAGTAGCGGGTGCTTACTTATTTGTGGGAAATCATGTATTCATACTGAAGAATAAACTCTGTAGCTGATTTGGTAATAACTTTTACTGTTACAGATGATTTCGCTTTGACCCCGGTGGCAGAGCACGTTTATTCCACATTCCACGCCGATAAATGCAGGACCTTCCAGACTCTTCCCTTCCAGCCCCGTTTCCTTTCTCTTGTTTATCTCCCCCCCCCCCCACTTTTTTTTGGTTTGTTTTCCTGGTTCCAGCTTCCTTCACCACTGTATTTTTTTTAGGGTTTTGCTTCTCTATTTATTGACAATAATAATGTACATTTCACAGTCTGGTTCTGGGACAGCCGGGAGGGGCTCGGGGGGCCCCCTCAGTCCCACCCTGCTGCCTGGTGTTCTATTGTATCTCTGTGTCCGTGATGCTCGTGACATAGCTGTTTATGAAATAATTAAAGAGGTCAATGCGTACAGCAGATGTAGAAAGTCTGTCAGTTCCGCTTTCATCACACTTTTTTTTTTTTTGTGCCCAGAAGAATATAATAAAGCTCCTTTCTAATGTACTTGTGCTGGAGAACACTTGAATAAATGGACTGTTTTTGTGCAAAAAGAAAAAATGGAAAAAGCACCGTAATAATGTCCTTTTGTCCTGCGCCTCCTTTTCTGTGACATGACTGCTCACAGCCCTGCTCCCAAGAGCTGACACCCAAGTGGAGAGGAGCCAGCGTGGGGGGCAGGCAGGGCTTGGCCCCTCCCTTTCAAGACTCTGCGCAGGGCGAGAGATTAGAGTGACACCAGGTGGCTGCAAAGCCATATTGGTCCCAGAGGGAGTAACAAGTACTTTGATTGCAGAGCAAGGTGGCTGTGGAG